ATTATGTGGTACTCCACTTCATATGAAAGAGAGAGTAGAATTGCACCATGCGTCTTCCGCAACCTCAACTATGCATCACTTGTCATATTCTCTAGCTTCTTGTCCACTCCTAGCAAAGCATGATCAAGGTCATGTTGAGCGAAGACCGCCTCCATCCTTGTCTGCCAAAGGCCCAAATCCTTCTTACTACCAACTTTTCAATCTCAATCTTCATTGCTAAGGAACTTTTTATTTTTCTTTTGGTTGATCCATTGATTTTAGAATTCTAATATGTTTTTGGATTTAATCTGGGATGTTTATTGTCAGTGAAATATAGGCTCTTTCCTCATGTTTTTTTATAAGAAGTTCCAGACCAAAATTAGAGAGAAAAATAAAAAGGAAGAGAGAGAGAGAGAGAGAGAGAGAGAGAGAGAGAGAGAGAGAGAGACTCAGTAAGGTTTCAATCCAGGAGAAATGATCTAACTCAGGCTTCTCAGTAAGGTTTCAATCCAGGAGAAATGATCTAACTCAGGCTTCTCAGTAAGGTTTCAATCCAGGAGAAATGATCTAACTCAGGCTTCTCAGAGAGCATCTTTGACGTCATTTTTCACCATCTGATCATTAACTTTTGAGGAGTGTTGCTCTTAAAATTCATCATCACCGTTCTTCTTAGATCTTTGCTATTATCATTAAGGAGAACTGTTTACAAAATTAAAGTGTTGTAAGATCATTCTAGTTGTGCATAATTGATATGATTTTTTTTTTTGTATTAAACATATTTTTATGGCATACTCAAGCGGTGATGAATTAAGGGTCTACAGAACACTAAAGTTGGAGTTAATTAAGGAAATTGGTCACTAGCTAGGACTAGGGATACTCCTATGTAAAGAGTTCGGGTTAGACAAGTAGTTTGGGAGAAACTATGGGGTCGGTCTTGTAAGCCTACTGAATTAGCTTTGTGATTTAAAAAAATTTCAGATAATGATGAAGCCCTTTTACAAAAAAAAAAGAGTGGATGTTGTTATAAAACAATTAAATGATGTTGATGTCCATTTAGTTTCCCAAAGAGATTGATACATGTATTACTCCTTGATATTCTCTATGAGTAATTAATATGATTCATATATCATCATCGTAGTTTGTATATAAATAGAGGTATTGCTACCTCACTTTGTAAGGAGAAATTGATGAAATAAAATTCTTTCTACTTCTTATCTACTTTCTCTACTCTACTTTATTAGTTTTACAACACGTTATCAGCACGAGACTCTACCATTGAAACAATCCATTTCAAGTCCATCGTTGGGCACATGTTCATATTTTGGGTAAACCTTTAAGGTAAAATTTCTCTTTCCAATTCAATTTATTTTTTACTATGACTAACCTTACAAAACAAGAATTTATACGTCTTGATATTTCTGGAAAGAACTACTTATGTTGGATGTTAGATGTTGAAATACATCTTGCTGCAATAGGTCTTGAAAATACTATTGTGGAAGAAAATAAGACATTAAATCAAGACCGTGTTAAAACTATGACTTTCCTTAGCCATCATTTGGATGAAGGATTAAAAACTGAATATCTAATTGTGAAAGATCCACTTACTTTGTGGAATAATTTGAAAGAGATATTTGACCACCTGAAGTTGGCCATGCTCCCAAAAACCCTATATGACTGGCTTCACTTAAGGTTACAAGATTTTAAATCAATCAGTGAGTATAATTCTGCAATGTATAAAATTACCTCTCAATTGTAATTGTTAAATCAATCAGTGAGTATAATTCTGCAATGTATAAAATTACCTCTCAATTGTAATTGTGTGGAGAAAATATCACTGATGACGATATGTTAGAAAAATTACCTCTCAATTGTAATTGTGTGGAGAAAATATCACTGATGACGATATGTTAGAAAAAACATTCTCCACCTTTCATGCCTCGAATATGATCCTGTAGCAGTAATATAGAGAAAAAGGATTTAAGAAATACTCTGAATTAATTTCATGCCTCCTTTTGGCTGAACAAAATAATGAATTATTATTAAAAAATCATGAATCCCAACCTACTAGTGCTAGCTCATTCTCTGAAGCGAATGCAACTCAATCTCAAAATCATGGTCGTGGGTGTGGACATGGTTGTGGAAGAGGCCGAGAGCGTAGCCGTTGTCATGGATGAGGTCGTGGTAGATATGTGCCTTATAATCACAATGATCATAATCATGGAAAAAGACAAAACAACTCCCAAAAGTGGGACAATAATGATAAGAAAAGTGAAGAAAAGAAACATTATGAGGAAATATGCTACATGTGTGGAATAGAAGGCCATTGGTCCCGTACCTGCCGTATAGCAAATCATCTTGTTGACCTCTATCAGGCATCATTAAAGGGGAATGACAAATATGCTGAGACAAATTTTATTGATCAAAACAATGTTTATGATGATGTTGATGATATCACATACCTCTATGTAGCTGATTTCCTTGAGCAACCTGAAGTTATGAAATGATCTCATGACAAATACCCGACATTTTGAATTTTGTTATTTTCGCATCTTTTATGTAATTTTCTTTATGAATTTTGTAATTGATGAATTTTATAGATACTTACTTTTGCTTGTAATTTTCTTTGTCATTTCTTCGTGAAGAAGAAATGGATGCCAAATATTTGGGATCAAACAATGGTGATGATGATACTTGTCTCATTGATAGTGCTACTACACACACTATACTTAAAAACATGAAGTATTTTTCTCATTTAAAAATGGAAGAAACAAATGTTAACACAATAAGTGGTAGTGCTAAATTGATTGATGGCTTCGGAAGAGCCACTGTATTTCTCCCCGAAGAAACTAAAATTATCATAAATAATGCACTATTCTCGATAAAGTCTCCTAGAAATTTGCTAAGTTTTAAAGATATCCGCCGAAATAGATATCATATCGAGACAATGAATGAGACAAATGGTGAATACTTATTGATTATAAATACCATTTCTGAGAAGAAATGCGTATTAGAAAAGCTGCCTTCTCTATCTTCTGGTTTATATTATACAAAAATAAGTGTAGCTGAAATGTCTCACCTTAAAGACCAGAAGTTTACTAATCCTAATGATTTTATGATTTGGCATGATTGCCTTGGACATCCTGGTTCTATAATAATGAGGTGAATAATTGCAAATTCACATAGCCATTCATTAAAAAAATCAAAAAAATACTAAATTCTAATGAATTCATATGTGTGGCTTGCTCCCAAGGGAAGTTAATTGTTAGACCGTTACCAACGAAAGTGGGAACTGAATCCCCTACATTTCTAGAACGAATTCATGGTGATATATGTGGGCATATAGATCCACCATGTGGACCATTTAGATGTTTTATGGTGATAATTGATGCATCAACAAGATGGTCACATGTATGTTTATTATCTAGTCGCAACCTGGCATTTGCAAGATTGCTTGCTCAGATAATTAAATTGCAAGCATAATTTTTCTGATTATCCCATTAAGAAAATTCGTTTAGATAATGCTGGTGAATATTCATCACATGCTTTTGAAGATTATTGCATATCTATTGAAATAAGTGTTGAACATCCTGTAGCTCATGTTCATACACAAAATGGTCTAGCCGAATCATTTATTAAACAGCTTCAATTAATTGTAAGACTATTGCTAATGAGGTCTAAACTTCCTCTATCTGCTTGTGGACATGCTATATTACATGCATCAACACTTGTGAGAATTAGGCCGACAAGTTATCATACTTATTCTCCCTTACAATTAGTTCTTGGCCATGAGCCCAATATTTTCTATTTAAGAAATTTTGGTTGTATGGTATATGTTCCTATTGCACCGCCTCAACGTACTAAAATGGGTCCTCAAAGAAGATTAGGGATATACGTCGGGTATGAATCACCTTCTATAATTAAATATGTTGAACCATTAACAAGTGACTTATTTACTGCAAGATTTTGCAGATTGTCATTTTGATGAATCACATTTCCCGACATTAGGGGGATGTAAAGATCAACCGAAAAGGAAATTACTTAAAAAATATTATTAGACTTTCTTGATCCTCGTACAAAAGAATATAAACTGGAAGTTCAAAGGATTATACATTTACAGAAAATTACAATCTAATTACTGGATGCTTTTAGTGATTCTAGAAGAATTACTAAATCGTATATTCCAGCAGAAAATGCTCCGATTAAAATTGATATCCAAGAAGGACAAATTAAAAGTGCTAACGAATCTAAAGCACGCCTGAAGCGTTGTAGACCTCTTGGTTCCAAAGATAAGAATCCTCGAAAGAAAAGAGGATCGAATGATCAAAATATTGCTAATGAGAAAATTCAACCTCCTGAAGAGGTCGCTCCTAAAGAGCCAACTCCTAAAGAGAATGAAACTATAGAAAATTCAATAAATTTTGTTATTATGATAAAGAGTTGGAACCGAAAAGAAGTAATTGTCGATAATGCATTTGCATATAATGTAGCACTTGATATTATGGAAGAAGATGAGGATCATGAACCCAGATCGGTTGATGAATGTCGGCGAAAAAATGATTGGTCAAAATAGAAAGAGGTGATAATGAAAAGAGCTCCAAACAGTAGAACGCCATTAAACAATTGGAAGAACAGGGGGAAATACCTTATAAAGGGCTGAGAGCTTGATTTTGTCTCCTGTACAACAATCTTGGATTGAGTTAAGAAAGTTATCAGTTCCACCACAATTGGCAATAGCAACATCTCCAGTTTCAAGTAGTTGCCTCCACATCCAAGAGTCCCCAGTCCTACTGCATACTTTCGAAAATATTCCCTATTTTTATAGGATTTTTCTCGGACTGTTATGTTAAGCAAGTGCTTAATTACTACTCGATAAAATTGATCTTCCTATTCTCTAACGATTATCCTAACAAACACCATCTTAAATTGAAAAACTCGGACATTCTGCACAGGGAAAATTTATATTACAAGTGCTTCTATTAAAGACTTTCTAAAGACCAAAAGAAATAGTGCACGCATAAGCATGGGAAACGAACCATCATAGAAGAGAATCCACATAAAATCTACGTGATTGAACTGTGGGGTTACTGATATTAATACAAGCTCATACTGCCCCCATTAGATTCCTCCTCACATATCCTGTGGAGGTTTATTGACGACTTCCATACATTTATTATATATATTTTTATTTTTATTTCATGCATCACCCCTGCTTGCACGTACATGCACATCACATGTGCTCTAGTTACTGGGATTACCATGCACAAGTTCATGAGCCAAAGCAGCGCCATCGGGCAAAGGTGCCACAAAGCAGATGTGGCCATCTGTGAGATTTGGTGGTGGGGTTTCACCTCCAGAGTGAAAAATCAAATCAAGCAGCAGGCCCGCGACCGCTGTGATGATAAATCCTCCAGCAACGCTGGTTATGAATCCAGCGCACTCGAGAAAAACAGTGCTTATCTCCACTTCGTCCACTAAAGACGGGATTGCAGCTTTTACAACGCTCCCGATGGCTGCACCACCCAAACCAGCTGCCAGCGTCATTGCATTCTTTGTGGCCACCTCGAGGGGACGTTCTGCCGTAAATATGTCCCACACCATTGTGCCCATTGAGAACACAAGCAGGGCTATGCCAGCGGCTGCTAGTGTTGTATCGATCACTTCAAGCACAATTTTTCCTCGCCCAGACTCTCCAATGATTTCATTGTACACCTACATATACGTACATTTAATTAATTAAAGACACAAACAAAGGGCAGCAGCATGATATATAATACTGATTTCGAAATGTTGTACAAGGTAATAATATGTGAAAAGTAAGTCGCATACTGGTCCATAAGATTATAAAAGGTTGAGGACGATGGACCTTATAATATTTTTATTTAGTAGTATATAGCTAGCTATAACTTGTATAAGTAAACAAACTCAGAACTTATGTTTCTTGAAATTACATGAACTCAAGAAAGAGCGAGAAGCCAATCACTACCTTCAACTTTTGGGCGTTCGTGAGGTCCTTGAAATTTCCTTCGAATCCAAGCCTTGCCTGGTACCTGGAAGCGCGACGAAAGAAATTAAATATAAAGAAAAGTATATTAATAATATGATATGAGTTACATACTCCCTGATGAGGTCCGGGAATTTGATGCCTCGCTCCTTGACCAACTTGGAGAAAGTCTTGGAAGAGTAGAAAGACTGGGACTTCTCAAAGAAGTTCGCAGTGGCATCTTTGAAGTAAGCTGCAGTCTCAGCAAGCGCTCTAGCATTTGCGACGTCCTGTGGCCCAAGGGTCTTCAGCACAGAGAGAAGCTCTTCGGCGTGGCCCTTGATTTTCGTCAGATACGCTTGACGCACTGTGTAGTTCTTGATCGTCTGAAGGGCGACGTTGACGCCTTTCACCGAGTAGTGGTAGAGGTCGTGAGCGATGGGGTCCTTCACTTGGTCAGACAGGTGCTCGTTCTTGGCATCGTCGGCAGATTTCAGCATATCCTCTATTTTCGTCTTGTTGTCCAAGCAATCGTAGAGGTATTTCGAGCGCTCATGCTCAGACTTGAACTGGATGTCGTAGATGGCTAGCACTTCTTTCCTGTAAACGATGTCGGCGAGCTGGTGGAGCTTCTCCTTCTTCAGTTCAATAGGTTCAACAGGAACGCTGGCCATTTTGATTTCCCCTAGCTCTTCCTTCTCTCTCTTGTTGTTTCTGTTGCGAAAGAAAAATGTGAAGGATATGCTTTCATTTATCGACCCAAGTTCGTTGACCGGTCTTTTTATAATTAGCGCACCGTCCTTTGGCATTTGAGCACCAATGAAACAGCTAGTGAAGACGCGGTCTTTTTTAAGTGGGGGGTTTTTATTGCTTTTTTTAATTATATTTGTTGACCGGTCCTTTTTTATGTATATAGAATATCTATTTCAATAAGGTTGTCTTGTACCTTTCTAAGAAAAACTGTGGTCATTTTTAATGGCTAATTAAGTTCTACCTTTAGGCTATGATTTTACTGCATGTTTTTTAAACTCACTGCATCCCAAAATTTAAACTCAAGCCTGGTCGAAGCTGAGATATAGGTTCAGACTTCAGAGGAAGAACCAACACTTGGTTGTACATTTTCTGGGAGAAATATTTTATGGCGTTTGCATATTATTATGGCTTGTGTTTAGCAATTTGATTAGAGAGTTGAAAGGATCAGAATTCCAAACTGTTAGGGTACACACCAATAATAACACCTCGAACGGAGACGTAATACATAAAATAAAGGCACAAAAATCAATCACAGTACTCACAGATATACGTGGTTCACTCATTCGGAACTACTCCGCGATGCAACGACGACGCTAAATTCTTTTATATCCTAATAGAATAGATCAAAGAGAACACCCTCTCTTGATCAGATACACTCCAAGAACTCTCACAATCTCTCTCTGTGTTTTCTCTCTTACTCTTCTATGAGAGGAGTTGTTTCTGGGATGAGATTTCCTTAAGAATGAGAGGAGTTGTTTCTGGGATGAGATTTCCTTAAGAGTTTAGGGCCCTATTTATAGTGTTTGGGAAAATACTATGTACTAATAAAATATTATTAGTGGGACCCGTCACTAATAATATTTTATTAGCGGGACCCGGTGGGACCCACCACCTTTTTTATTTTTCTCAAAAAAGGGTAACTTTCGGTGCCTAACTGTCCTTTGTCAACAAAGAGCGGCTGACAATCTCCCACTTGAAGATTTGATTGAGTATCAATCATATCTTCACACCATTCTTGATTGCATCATCCGGATTTCTTGTATCTTTGACGTCTTGCATGACCCTCAACATTTTCAACGGAGGTCATATGAGGCTGCACACAGCCTCACCTTCTCGAGTGGAACTAGCTTGGTCAGCGTATCGGCTGGATTGTACCTTGTATCAATCTTCACATGTTTGAACTCGTTCCTGCTTTGCCATCTCGGTATGGCATGGTGTTTCACGTCAACATGCTTGGTCCGAGCATGGAATGCGTCGTTCTCTGACAAGTGAATGACACTTTGACTATCGTAGTGGATGAAGTATTTCTCAAAGCTTACTTCAAGCTCGAGAAGAAAAGCCTTCAACCATAGCAACTTCTTTGCTGCTTCTGTTGTAGACACATACTCGGCTTTGGTTGTCGACAAAGCCACAGTATCCTGTAACTTGGATCTCCAACTTATCTCTCCACCACCCAAGATGAAGATGTAGCCGCTCGTGCTGCTTCAGTCTATGTCCCCTGCATAGTCTGCATCACAAAAGCCCTCTAGCTGCAAATTTGTCCTACCATACTCAAGACGAAGATCGGACGAGCTTCTCAAGTAGCGTAGAAGCCACTTGACCGCACCCCAGTGTTGTTTCCCTGGATTGCTCATGAAACGGCTCACAACTCCTACTCCTTGTACAATATCTGGTCTCGTGCACATCATCGCATATATCAAACTCCCGACGATAGATGCGTATTGTATGTTGGCCATGAACTCATGCTCTTCAGCAATCTCTGATGCTTGGGTCTTCGATAGCTTGAAATGACTTGCAAACAGCGAGCCCACTGGTTTAGCTTTCTCCATGCTGAACTTTTCAAGAATCTTCTCAATGTAGGCCTTTTGAGACAACCTCAGCCTCCGTGCTGATCTGTCTCTGATGATCCTCATCCTCAAAATCTGATTTGCTGAACCCAAATCCTTCATCTCGAAGCACTCGGAGAGACGCCCTTTGAGTTCTTCAATGCGGGCCAAGTCGGGTCCTGCAATCAACATGTCATCAACATAAATCAAGAGTATCATATAAGATTCACCATATCTCTTGATGAAGCAGCAGTGGTCTGTGTCACATTTGAGAAAACCGTTCTCCTCCATAAAGTTCTCAAACTTCATGTACCACTGTCGCGGAGCTTGCTTCAGGCCATATAAGCTCTTGCGCAGGCGATACATGAGGCCTTCCCTGCCTCGTTCCTCGAAGCCCACTGGTTGATGCATATAGATCTCTTCCTCTAAATCTCCATGAAGGAATACCGTCTTCATATCTATCTGCTCTAGATGGAGTTCTCGATCTGCCACAATGCTCAGTATAGTCCGGATCGTGGTCAACTTGACGACGGGAGCGAAAACGTCAGAAAAGTCTATCCCTGCTTTTTGCTCATAGCCCTTCACTACAAGCCTCGCCTTGTAGCATCTTCGTCTATCAGCTTCATCATTGACCCGATAAATCCACTGATTGTGAAGAGTCTTTCTCCCTCTTGGAAGCTTTATGAGCTCTCAAGTCCTATTCTTCATCAAAGACTTCATTTCTTCCTCCATGGAAAACTCCCACTCGCCCCGAGCTTTGCCGGTCTGCTGTACCTCCTCATAGCTCTCTGGCTCAACACTATCAGCCAGGAGAAGATAATTCATGGTGAAAAGGTACCTCTCTGGCACCCTTGGATTTCTTAGAGCTTTGCGAATTGCGATCGACAACTCTGCTGGATCCTGCTGCTGTGCATCGCGCACGTTCTCTTGGTCTCCATCTTCTATACTGATTAGTATCTCACTGCCATCCTCACTGTCAGTAATATCTAGGAAAAAAGGGGGAGATAGCTGAATCTCACTCACCTCTTTGGTCTTGTACACCGTATTCTCATAGAACACGACATCACGACTACGCACCACCTTGCACGCATCGTGATCCCAGAAATGGTACCCATACTCATCTCCTCCATAGCTGATGAAAGAGATCTTCTTTGACTTTAAATCAAGCTTTGACCGATTTGCAGGATTGGTCATGACATAGGCGTCACAACCAAATACTCATAAGTGCTCTAGCTTCAGCTTCTTTCCGGTCCAAACCTCTTCAGGTATCCTATAACTGAGATCCATGAATGACTCGCGGTTGATCAAGTATGCAGCAGTATTGACAGCTTCGGCCTAAAAGCTCTTGGGTAATCTGGAATGGATCCTCATACTTCTGGCATGCTCCAAGATAGTGCGATTCATACGCTCCGCCACTCCGTTGTGCTGAGGTGTGCCTGGGACTGTCTTCAGTCTCCTAATTTCATGGGATGAGCAGAAGTTCTTGAAGTCCGAGCTACAATACTCGCCTCCATTATTAGACTTTAGGCATTTTAGCTTATTGCCTATTTTGTTCTTCACACAGGCAAGCCACTTCTTGAAGATGATGAAAACATCTGACTTATGCTTCAAGAAGAACACCCATAATTTTCTAGTAGCATTATCAATAAAAGTGACAAAGTAAAGAGAATTTTTAACAGATGGGACTTGCACAGGTCCCCACACGTTGGTGTGCACCAACTCTAATTTCTACAGTTTTAGAGCCGGTCCGATCTTATTGAAGCTCACCTTCTTTTGTTAGCCTAGGAAGCAGTCATCACAAAAAGGCAGATCGATCTTGTTCAGACCCTAAAGCCTCTCTTCTGCGGTCATAATCTGCATGCCCTTCTCGTTCATGTGGCCAAGTCGTCGATGCCAAGTCATGAAGTCAACGGATGATGGTGATGATGGTTATCCTGCGACAAGCAAGTGGTCAATCTTCCCGTTGGCGATGTAGAGAGACCCCTCGTGTTTTCCGTGTGCCACCACTAGGGCACCCTTGGACACCTTCCAACTTCTCTCCTTGAAGGATACTCTGTAACCGGAGTCAGACAGTTGCCTGACTGATATAAGATTTCTCCTGAGATCCGGTACATGCTGAACGTCATTCAGTGTCAAGGTGGTCCCGCCCTCCATTTTGAGGGTACAATTTCCCTTCTCGGAAACTTTGCAAGGTTGATCGTCGTCAAGATAGACTGTCCCTAAGTCCGTCTTCACGAACGATAAAAGCAGCTTTTGTTGTGAGGTTGCATGCAAAGATGCGCCAGAGTCGATGACCCACGCATCGCATTTGTCTTCTAGGGATAGGAGAAGTGCATCCGAATCCGTCTCATGCATGAGATTGGCTGCACCATCAGCCCGATCATCCCCTGCTAATGCTAGAATAGTAACTCTGCAGTCCCATGCAAAGTGACCCTTCTTTGCGTATCTGAAGCACTTCCCTTCACCGTAACCATTCGGGTTTGGCACTTTAGACTTCACTATGGATTTTGATTGGCCTCGTTATCCCCTACCCTTCTTCTGCGCACGCCTTCGTATCTCGACATGCAGAGCACTCCCACTGCTAGAGGCCTCAGCTCCTGAGACTTTACGACGAGATTCTTCATCCAGAATTTCCCCAACCACTGTGTTAAGCTTCATCTTGTCATTCCCATTAGCGTTGCTCACCACCATCACCATATTCTCCCATGAATCTGGTAGATAAGAAAGTAGCAGAAGAGCTTGGATCTCATTTTCAAACTTGAGATCTACTACAGCAAGTTGTTGTACCACAGTCTAAAATTCGTTCAAGAAATCCACCACGCGAGCTCCTTGCTGCATCTTTAGATTGAACAGCTTCTTCATCAGGTATACCTTATTTGAAGTAGACAGCTTCTTATACAGCACCTCCAAGACCTCCATCAACTCCTTGGTGGTGGTCGCATGCGGGACGTTGTAAGTCACATGCTGATGAAGGTTGAGCCTGAGTGTGGCAAGTGCTTTACGATCGAGCACCTTCCACTTATCGTCGTCCATTTTCGCAGGTTTCCCCACCTATCCTTGGAGGGGGTAGGAAGAGATCCTTCTGGTACAAATATGCTTCTATTTGTATCCTCCAATACCTAAAATTTTAGCCGTCGAATTTCTCAATTCT